AATACAATAATACCGTACCATACCATACCACATCATGCCATGCCATGCCATTCCGTACCGTGCTATACCATACCACCGTACTGTACCATACCATACCAGGCCAAGCCACACCACACCACACCACGCCACGCCACGCCACGCTATGCCATACCATACCATGCCAAGCCACACAACGCCACGCCACGCCACGCCACGCCATGCCATACCATACCGTGCTATGCCATGCCATTCGTACCACTCCACACCATACCAAGCCATACCTTACCATACCATACCATGCCATGTGGGTATTTGGCGGGTGCTTTGGTGTGGTTTGCTCCTTCTTTCCTATCAAACACTATCGTCCTTGTTTTTGTTACTCTCTAATAACAGCTCTGATCTTCGGCACTTATATATGGCCTTATTGTGTTGCAAGTAGCGTAAAACTCTTACTAAAACAAAATACCATGTCATGCCATTCGTACCATACTATACCATACCATACCTTTCCCTTTCCATACCATACCATACCATTCCATACAATACCATACCAACCATGCCATTCGTACCATTCCACACCATACCATACCATACCATACCATACCATACCATACCATACCATACCATACCATACCATACCATACTATACCATTCCCTTTCCATACCATACCAGACCACACCACACCATACCATATCATACCATATCATACCATACCATGCAATACCATACCATATAATACGATACCATATAATACCATACCAAACCATGCCATTAAATACCATACCGTACCATACCATGCCATTCCGTACCGTACCCTACACTACCATATAACTAGTACTCCACGGCAAGTATGCATTACAGTTTTTATATATACATGTAATAATATAGTAATCGTTTGTGTTTCCCTAACGTGGTATTGCATACTCACCCGTGTTACGTCAATCAACAAATTGTGTATCTCAGTCAGTGTCTTTCGGGACTTACATGACCTAATTGTCTTAGCCGCCCAATCTCATTAGTTCTGATTCTTCTATAGAACATTCTTCTTCTACTTGTGATTGCCTACTGTGATGTGAACCTCACAAATGGAGAGAGACAGCGCGAGAGGGTGGGGGAGGGGTGAGGAAAAGGGAAAGAAGGAGAGGGAGGAGGGGGGTAGGAGGGAGAGAGAAGAAGAGAGAGGGAGAGAGAGAGGAGGGAGAGAGAAAGATGGGACTGAGGGAAGCATAGTTTGCTATCTCTCGAAGGATGTTTGGATCACGCAATATACTAGATCTGTAATTGTTCTGTCCTTTCCAAGTATATGCAATGGTTACACAGGAGAATTTTGTGTACTTCTGTCCTGTGGAAACTTTGGCCTCAGGGAAAAATCTTATCTACGGCAAGGGACAGGACAAGGTAGTAGGACAAGAGAAAATCTTATCTAACTTCTGAGCCAAGCAAAACAATA